ATTACTAACCTTAACGCCTCTAGAACGAAGCAAACTTTTTATCACTTGTATAAACAGCTCTTTGCTGTTTCCATGTCCCATGTTTTACTCCCGACGATACCTCCCTGCCCGAACTTCTTTACCTTTTTATTCGAAGCGTCTTTGTTCACCGGGCAGTTTTCCTCTACCTGCTTCCGGTGTTTTCGAGTCTCCACATTGGGCGCCACCTGCCGGAGCCCGCCAGCACAGCAACGGGGACTCGATTGAAGGGGTGAGGACTGAGAAAAGACAGACACAAAAAAGCTGGGGTCAGGAGGACTGCAATTCAAGACTGCAGCCCCGAGTTTTATTTTCCAGCAAGCTTTTATGCACTGTTAAGCGGGAATGTACTATTGCTCAAAATAGCGCCCCCATCCTTGTTCTTGTTTGTCTCGCAAATATTTTTCCCAAGGCTAAGCACCTGCTGTTTTCAATAACATTAAAGCACAAAAGTCAATCTGACCGTGAGAGAGACAATCTGCACATCCAGGTCCGTGAGAAAGCTGCATCTGCACGTCCAGGTCCGTGAGAGAGTTGTGTCTGCACGTCCACATTTGAGCGAACAGACCTCTGCTTTCAGAGCAGCTCCCAACATATTACTCCTGTAGTTAGTTCTTTGATTTTTACAAAAATTATTTCTCTCTTGTTCCAGATAAGTAGAGACTAATAGTTGTAGCTCAGATGGTTGCTTACAAGCTTTAAGACTCCAAATGCTACTCACCAAACTGGAATATAGAACATTATCCTTATGAAGTAGTATGCCTATTGACTGAGTTATCCCTAGGAATTCTAAGCTCATCCATTCACACCATGTCAAATCAGCTCTTTTTGTCATCTTTGAGAGACTCAAATTGTGTTCTCTTAAAATGTGATGGTTTGGGGTTTCTTGCTTTGGCTGGTTTAGGTTTGGGTCTTTAGTTTTCAGAACAAAAAGAAGTTTGAAGGGGCAAAACCGAGACCATCAGGTGATTGGGGTAATATTTCCCAACAAACACCTTGTAGGACAGGCCATGCTTCCCTTGAAGAATGAGCAGCTGTGTTGTTGTGACGAGAAAACCTCCCCAGCACAAGTCTCCAGGGCCTTTTTCTTACCAATACAGTTTTCAATTTTTTTTCTTTTTAAAATCATTTTATTGGGGGCTCATACAACTCTTATCACAATCCATACATACATCCATTGTGTCAAGTACAT